TAGGCATCCACGCGCAGCCCTTCCCCCCCCGCCCCGCATAAATCCACGCATATAATTAAAATAGCGTCTTTTCAGCGTGCGTTCAGACGAGACAGCACAGGCAAACGCGCGCCAGCAACTCCTACAAGATGCAGGACGTCTCCCGAAACAACTGCACGTAGTTGCAGGCACTGAAGCACTCGCATGTGCAGCAAAACACGTCCTGCGAGTGCAGGAACAACCGCTTTTTCTGCGGTTCCCAGTACGCGTGTAGCCTGCCCGCTCGTTAAAACCCAGCAAAGTCAGCTCTCCTTGCTCATACACGGTCTGCGTAAGCGATGGAAATGCACAAAGCAAAATACACTTACGTGCCATATTATATGAAGAAAAAACCTTCCATTAAGAGGGTCATTTTCTTTCTCGGACAGTTAAGGCAGGATTTATTAAATAGCAACAGAGAACAAAGGGGAATAAAGGCAAACCCATGTATTTAGCAGAGCAAGACTAACGTTCCTTTAAATAAGCTATCGTTCCATTGCTGTGATACTATTACTTAGTTTTAGAAGTCAGTAACTGACAAAGGCAAGCCAGGCTCCTCCAAATGCAAAATAAATTTAATTTTAGTATTTTACAATGCCCCAGTGATACCCAGATTACAGTCTGTAAGTCTGCAGCGCACGATCCACAGCTGGTTTCTGAAACCATTTTAAAAATAAGGGCTTCTTGGCTTTTGAGTGGCTACACCGATGACGCGCAAAGATACTTGTGTGTTGGCGGGGGGTGTTCGGACGTGGGACCATGGCCACAGCCGAGAAGAAGCTGCGTTTCCCAGGGGCCGTGGTTCTGGTCTGGACTCGGCAGAGGCAGAGCCCGGGGCAGGCAGGGACGGTAGCTCTACCAGCTGTTTTTAGACTCTGCTGTGAATATCCTGGTGTTCCTCTTCTGTGCCCTGTGGCTAGCCGAGTTCAGGGTCCTGCTCTAGCGCACAGTCGAGTCAGACTGCCCTGCTGATGAACTGATCCGGTACCATCTTCAAGCAGCTCATATCGGCTTTGTCGCCACCGCTAAAATTTGAAGTCTGTCCCAGGCTCCAAACTGTCCCCACGCTCAGAGTAAGTTTATTCACAGGCGGGTCATTTAGCTTGTTCCTGGGCCAACACTGCTTAGGACTATAAATACTTCCTTATAGTAGTTCCTTATTATAAATAGTACCTTCTCCATGTATATGTATGCACATGGATACGTGTTTACACAGTGACATACATACATACGTATATATGTAAAGTGGAGTCACGTTCCTTCCCAAGCGAAAGAAGTCACGCTCTTGCCAGCTCCTCCGGTATGACATGGTTTTGGTTTCCTGCATCATCTTTGGCTTTTCCTGTACTTGCTGCCTTTTAAACGTGGAATACCAAAACTGCAGATAATACTCCACAGTTTGCTCTTTATTTCTAAAGTTTTTGCAGCTGTTAAAAACCAGCCAATTTCTGAAGTTTTGAACACAATGCAAATAATGGTCAGGTGCACCAAATTTGCCAGGGGGATTCCATGAACCAGGCAGAATGGGGAAAAAATTATAACGGAAGGAATGTCTCAAAGGTCAGTTTCACTAGTCTTCAAATTTCAAGCACTGGTGTATTTTGAGGCTTGTTTTGAAAGTCTCTAGCTTCACAAGTGCCATGCCAGGATAGATGTCTGTAACAATTTATTTAAATTTTAATTCGCAAGCGGGGATCTTAGGCATATGAATGTGTCGCTTATTTTCCAGGCTGTGTATTGCAGGCAAGTCTTATCTGTGTCTCTATTTTTCTCTTTTTTTCCCCACAAACTTTTTTCATCATTGAAGAAGAAGAAGAAATATATCATTATCAGTTTTTTTATTAGGTGGTTCTGGTGAAATGTCTACAGTAAATTGCACTTTCCAAACAATTAATGCTACTTAGGTGCATGCTTTCTGTATGTAAGAAATCTAAATAGTTTTGATAACTGGAAAAAATCAGCTCACTATAAATAAGAATGTGCCACCCTAAATTTAATGTTTGTGAAAAACTGGGAAAGTCGATCGATACTTTAAATGTCTCATAAAATAGGTTTAAAATTAAGGCGCTGTTTTCACTTTGAAGCATGGCTGAATCAGTAGAACTTGAACTTAAAAGACAGTGAAGACACTTTTTTAATTTTTTTTTTTTTTTAAGGTTACTGAAATAATATTAGTGCTTAATCCATATAAGACCAAGTAACTAGCTGGATTACTTCCACAAAATGACATTTGGAAAACTGAGGAAAATACACAACTTGGGGTCAGTGCTATGAGAAGCAAGTTGCATGCTAGCTATGGAAGAGTTTTCAACCCTGGGATAAACCATACTTTCAAGTATAGTAATGGTTACTTCGGCATGTTTTAATGCCAAGGTGAAGATACTGCATGGCAGTCTTACTCTGTATGGTCAAGACTTCGAAATTCCAAAACCTTACAAAACATAGAAGAGTCAGACTGTAGATGTTGGGATGGCTGCTGACCGACGTTGCACAAATCGCCACTTCATTCACTATGTGATTAGGGAGCTTCTGAATTAACGTGGCTTAAATGAAACACTTTCCAAAGGAGAGTAGCAGAACCAGGAATAAAGCCCTAGTGTTAGATACTTCATGAAAAAAATCTGGACTGAAACTGTTAGAAGTGTGACCCACCTTTTTATTTGACAGCAAATTCTCCCTCTGAACCGTCGGCTAATCTCACTGTACACAAAAAAGCTGTGTAAGAGTAGATACTCTTGTGAGGAGAAATGAACTAGAAGTATCGGATTCTTTAAAGGAGTTCAGGCTCAAGTTTTAAAATACTGAAGATAACATCAGCTCTTCATTTGTTCCTTTGTCAGGTTTTCTCTCTGCGTTAAAGCCCTGTTACTGTAAAATTACTGCCGATTGCTCATTCTGTATAGTAACACCATGCATCTTTTTGAAAGTAGTTTTAAGGACGAGGGTTTACTGAACTGGAGTCAGGTCTTTCTAATGTAACTAGAAGAATCTGACTGATGGGGGTAACTTGTTTTTTCTTCTTCCCTGCTTCCTCAGAATGACTGCCTTTTGCGTGATGAAGCTTTTATGTCAAGCAACCAGAAATGAGAATAGATACGCAAAAAGATTCTTCGGTACTCTTCTGACACAAACCCCACAAAAGAGGGTCTTTTCTCCATTCTGGATGGTGGTACCTGACCCTAGAAAGTCAACTGCATTTGGACTTACTCAACCATTGTGTACAGCTGAAAAATCTCACATGAAACCAAAAAGGAAAGCAGCATTTGGAAGTGTTGGGCGAAGAATTCCGTATCGGATTTTGCACGTAATCAACCAGGATGGAGAGAGCTTAGGAAACATGCACCGAGCAGAGGCACTCAAACTTATGGATCAACATGACCTGAAACTAGTTCTCCTTCGTGAGAATGCAGAACCTCCTGTATACAGACTAATGACCGGGCAGCAGATTCATGAAGAACAGCTTAAACGTGCAGAGAAGAAAAAAGCAAATCCAAAAGCAGGTATGTACATCGTTGACACTACGACACTGAGCACTTTGAAAAATGCTGCATTAAAAGTGGTTTCAGCAGATTAAATCCTCTTACTTGCATTTGTGTAAATCCAAAGCAATGTCACTGCAGTCCACCCTATTAAGGATTTGCAGTGGTGAAAATAAAATTTTGGATTAGTCTAGTCTTCCACAGAGAAGCCTTCTATTGCCTTCTCAGGATTTACTATTTTGGCATCTGCTGGCTTTTTTTTTAAATCTATTTTTATTTAAGTGAATATAACTAGACTTTGGTTCCATGAGACTCACTGAATTTCTGTTCTTTTACTAAGGCATAAAGTTGACAGGCAGTTTGTAAAAACCGAGCACCAGGTACACCGATATAGTTACCTAATTTCATCACCAGTAGTCATGAAACATTCTCTTCCTAGTTTGCTGCTAGGAAGACAAAGCGTGGAGCCCTTTCTTGTGCAGAGTAAGAGAACCACCTTTTCAATATTCAGCGCTTTTCAGTGTTTTTTCTTAAGTCAGCCTGCTCCAGCAGTTTAACAAACTGAGTTTGGCAAAGAGGTTTTAGAAAAGGCATCTGACCTTGTATCCTCTTTTCTTATCCTCAGGCTAACGAAGGTATCTGTGCTTTGGGTAGAGTTCTGATTTTAGAGGAGAGCACTACTGTGGTAGTGAGTCTTTCTGTTCAAGAAACTACAAAAAGATTATTCAAATGGTAACTACTTTAGAGAATCCCTGAAGAGGAAGAGACCGTAAATTGTTCAAATATATTACGAGGCATCATACTTAGAGTTGAACATTGCACTTCACCTTTCAAGAAAATGGGCTAGAGATGAAGACCTATCTAACTTCAAAGCTTTTACATGCAGCTATACTATGTGCAGAATGTAGGAATTGCACACTAAGTCTTTAATTCCAATGCTTACCTGTTTACCTTTGTTAGACCTGCATTATGGGTGGTATGAACAAAACTGAAATTAAAATAAAAATACTTGAAGCCTTCTGACCTGAAGAGACTTCTCCCCGTGCCTCAAACACGCACTCAGTCTCCCAATTACGGCAGTGAGTGTGAGATACCAAGTAGCCACCTTCTAAGGTGAGAGCGGTGCATGCAGAGACCACGAGATTGGGATGGTCTGTGTACAAGAAAGCAGCACAGGGGAAGGGAGTTAAGCAGACAAAGCACCACAGGCTGTTGAAAGAGAGCAGCTGATACAGGTTTGTCAGATGTTAAGCCAACACAGTTTTAGTTCTGTTTTAAACAGGGATGGTTCAGAAGGAGTTATCCTTTTCTTCAGCTATTGCCAAGAACGACTTAGAGACCAAGACTAAACAGATAGCACAGTGGATTGAAAAGAAATACCATGTTAAAGTTACCATCCGGCAAGCAAAAGATAGCAATACAGACATGGTAAGTGGACTCCTGAAAGCTGAACCAATCAATTTCATGAAATAGGTGTACTTGTATTAACTTCCCCTATTCAGTACTGCCATGTTTTTTTAATATATCATGCACTGCTAAAATAAGTGAAGATCTGTGTCCCATGAAAGTAATGGTTGCCCCACTTAAGCTGCATCTGTTCAAACACTGCAGTTCTAGAAAAGTAGTCTCACAGAGACAATTCAAATACCATGCTTTCTTAAGAGTGCAGTTTTAACACTGGCTTTGACAGCAGACTCTAAGAAGTTCCTACTCCTTTGCAGCACCACCTTATTAACTGGGGTGGTGAAATTTTCCTGTCTATGCCTTAAGACAGCTCACTCACTGAAAATTTTAACAGTAAGGTTTAAAAACTTCTGCTGTATTTTAGCTGGATTATTTCAATAACCTAACTGTTCTTCTGAAGATGCATTTGTGCAACTATGGCTAAGGTTACTTTTCCACTGCTATGTGAAAAACTACTGGAATGATGTTCCAAGACTGGCAAAGTAAACATCTATAAAGATGTTAGGGAGCTGGTGGCCACTTACTTGTATAATTGTAGGGCCTTGAGACTTGTCTTCATTGTCATTTGCACAAATGCCTTTTTTATAAAGATTCTGTGTAAGATTTTTTTTTTCCTTTTAATGTTGTAGTGAATTAGGTTTCCTTGATGATTCTCTTTACTAAATTGCTGGAAAAAATTGTGATATCACTTCATCCAAACAGAACAAAACTTTTTATAGGAAGTTGGATTCATAGGGAAGGGGTAGCAGGAGGAAGAGCTGGATATGGGAGGGAGGAGAACATTTTGTGACATAGTCCAGCTTTAGGTTGTCCTTAAATTTAAAAGCTTAATTATGAGCTTAAGAGTTCAGCTTGTTATATGAATGCACTGTATCACTCAGTTCAATACTACCACATTCTGCTAACCTTAGAACAATACTGCCCCTTAAGAGGAAAGCCCCATAATAATATGTCCCAATCTAGTGGAAGAGGAGGGTGGGGAGGGGTCAGATGCAGCAGTTGTAATCACTTTCACGGACACCTTTAAACAGCAAAACAGGATGAGTCAGGAATTCAACTTAAGTGTTAGGAAATGGCTTAGTCCCTCTAGTGACTTTCCTAAACCTGCTGATGAGTAAAGAACAGATGGTTGGGAAAGGACAAGCTGAACTGCTTAAACCAGGACTAGCAACTAGCTCGTTTTAGCTAATACCTAAACCACAAGCAGGAGATTGTGTCATTATAGAACAGCCTGAAATACTTTTCTACCTGTATTTGTGCATTTAGTCCTATTTTTCTCCTTCTTTTTAGTTCACGCTTTTTGATCAGATTTTAGAGACTGTGTCTGAGAAAGCCACTTACCTTTCCAAGCCAAAAGTTACTAGAGAAGGAGTGAGTACCTGTATTTTGAGACACATGTCTGACAAAGAGTTAAAAGCATACCAGAAGATGGAAAAACAGAAAAACAGTACAGTAACGAAAGATGAGAATGAAGATCAGAAGTCAAATGAGTTGCATCAGTGACTTTATGAAGAGGCGTAAACAATATTAATTTCTTATTTAAAAAAAAATTATAAACTTAATAAAGTTATTGTTGAGCTTTGCACTGGTCATTCCTTGAAGAATGTTGTCTCAGTTAACCTTTACTGCAGAGTTAGAATTTCAACAGTTGGTATTTCATTTTCCATGGGCTTATCCATTGTCTTGCTTTCTGTCACAGCCGCATCCTTTCCTGGCTGGGTTTTAGGAGGAATGTAGCCACTCAGACGAGAGGCTAAGCTCCTCTTTGGACGAGAACGCTTTGCCTGGCAGAAATAAATCTAGAATTAGCAACTTAACTTATCTATGGAGCAAAGACTACTACTGGGGGGGGCAAGGAGGAGGGGAGAAGAAATTAATGAGTAGGCCAGCACTGTGTTATTTAAAGGAGCTTCAGAAATTAAGAATCTCCCAAATTGAGTAAACAGCTGGCCTGTTTTCCTGCTTGAAGTCACATTCTAAAACACATAATGTTTACCCTCCTCTGAAGTGACAGGGTATGGTTGAGAGGACTTTTTCAAGAGTATAACTTACTTTCAAGTTCAGCTTTCTCTTTTCAGGATCATGTACAACTGTGTGCCTTGATAGGCTCTGCTACAGTTACAAAGAGCAAGGGGGGAAAAAAAAAAAAAAAGAAAGAGTTAGGTTTATCATTAAGAGAGTTAGGTTTATCATTTCAGATTATGTGATTCAGATTAGGACAGTGTAAAAATACATACCTTCATTGCAAACACTCTTCCACAGCCTGGATAATCACAAGAGAATGGTTTTTTCTCCTCATGAAAAGAGAGGATATGGCTTTGAAGATTAAATACAGTTGTGTAAGTTCTCCCGCATCCTTCTCTCGGGCATCGACAGACTTCCCTCTCCACAGCATGTGTTTTTTGGTGCTGCTTGAGGTAATCTTTCCGTTTAAAAGTTTTGTAACACTCATTGCAAACTATCGGCTCTGAGTGGGAGAGAGACAGGCAGAGTATAAATTAACAGCTTCTTAGGAGCTCAGAATCAAACCCTAGCAGTCCTCTAGAACAATGCTAAAATCCACATGAAATGTAAAGAACTCGGACTGGAAGAGAATAACGCAGTATGAATTACCCAGATCTGAAATCCTACATTATATAATTTCTCATTAACTGGATCACAAATCAAAGTTAGTATAGTGAATAGCATTTTCATCAGTTAAAGGCCTAGCCAGAGTGACAACCATTTTACCAATAGCATTAGTAAACAAGTTTGTCTAGCCACAATGACAAGTTGATGAAATGAGTTCAGCAAGGACTCCTCTTCAAATTAGCAGTTTGTTTCCTATTCGTATCGAAAGTTAAGATCTATTTACTAAAGCCTTTGGAGTTTACCTGTATGACTTTCTTTATTATGTTTCAGAAGCTCTGTCCAAGTTTTTCCACTATATGAGCAGTTTTCTTTCTTGCATGCATAGCCTGTTAGACAGGGAAAGTGTTTACAATCGCAAATCATTTACAACTGGCAAACACAGTCCAGTTTTACAAGGGGGAACTCCACTTTCAGCGTTCGAAAATTAAAGACCAGCATTCCTCCTCTCCTCCCATGCTGCAGGGTGATGGGACAAGAGGCAACAAACACAAATTAGAACATGAGAAAATCCTAACAGATTTAAGGAAGAAACCTTGTATCATTGACACAAGTTGTCCTGAGAGGCTGTGGAATCCCTACCCCTGGAAACATTCAAAACTTGACCCGACGCAGCCCTCAGCAGCCTGGTCTAACTGACCCCACCTTCAGCAGGGAGCTGGACCAGATGACCTCCAGAGGTCCTTTCCAACCTAAATGATTTTATGAAACTCTATCTCCCCTTGCTTCAGTAAAACTACTTTCTCACCAGCCATACACTTTCACTCAACTAGATTAAAATAGCTGGAACAATATATTTCTATATAAATATTTGTACTACGTATTAAAAACATAAGATCTTGACCATACAGTAATATTCCTGAGTCTAAAGAGACTCTACCATTCTATCAGCAGACAGGATGGTTTTTAAACGAACCACAGAAAGTCAACACTATTTAAATCCCAGGACTGGGAATGTCAAACAACTATGAACAAGTCCCTGTGTTAAGAAAGGAATGCAGTACAAATCACAGATTTTGCATACTCCTCCTAGTTCCTTGGGTTTGTTTTTTTTCTCTAGCACTGGAAAGCAGGCTAGCTGTCAATAGTACTGAAAGAATGGATAGGAGTGTAGCAGGATTAGCTCAAACATACATGACCACCTCCTGACAATTCCACTTAAATACCTTTCACATAGGTACATTAATAACTTTAAAAATGCAAGCTGACATGGTTTTGCCGAGGCTCCATAGGAAATCTGTGGCAGAACTGGCAACTGATCCTAACCCCTGGAGGTCTAGGCTAGTGCCTTAACCATTAGCCCATCTCCAGAAGATGGCTCCTAATTGACAAGGAAGCACATTAGGAGCAGAAATGACTGAAGGAATCCTGAGCCCTGTTCAGCCTGCCACAAGTACATTGTAACTGAACAAATGCAAGGCATTGCAATTGTATCCCATTCAACTATTCAAAAGGGGTCTTCTTGTTCTGTCTATCTGGATCACAAGGCTCAGGATACTTCCATGTCTGTCATGCATCCCTGCATACTCTCTGTACTGGAGGAAGTCCCTTTTCCTTTGCCAAAACATAACTGAGGCAAGAAGAAAAACTGTATTACCTTCATGTATCTTCTCATGCCGCTTCAGTCGACTTGGAGTAGAAAAGTACTTTCCACATCCTTCATTATTACATCTAGGTATAAAGTACACTGGTTTAATTTCTGTCACTGCATCCGCATATTTTTTTCTTTAAGTCAAGAACAATTAAAGTGGACAAAATAATCCAAGTTTCCCCTTGCCTAGAGTTCTGTTCTGTGTCCCCCCACCCCTTGTAAAAGTAAATTCCATAACACGTTTCTAATGGAGGACTCTGATCCCCTCGAGAGTTAAAATTATAGCACGATTTCCGCGTATACAGCAAGTTAAGCTTTAGCTAAAGAATCAAGCCTCATATCCTCCCTCCACAGTAGGCTCTTCAAACATAAAAGAGAAAGTGGAAGGTTTATGTGGCTTGTACAGATCTAGCAGTCAGAGCAGTAGCAGAGCACTAAGTATTTTTCTGCCTGTCACCCAGCCATACTAGTGCACTTCACTTAAGTGGAACACTCCCGTAAAGCGTGTTTCACCTGTAAGAAACACAAGACTAAACTTTGCTTTCATTAGATCTATACTGATGCATCACGTAAATAATGGAGTTGCAATGCACAGCTTCTCAGATTGGTGTCCAAGCCTCTCACCTTTTTTAAGCTGCTACTCACTTCAGTGTTAGCCAAGCCACTGCTTTTTACTGGAGAACAGAGGAAGCTGCGTTTTTCATTACGGTGCAAGCTCTTATGCTTGTATTTTAGACTGTATGAACTCAAAACTGGGCTTTTTGCTTATTTTTCCTGTGAACCTGTAATAAGCCCTAAGAAAATGTCTGGAATGCTGAAGTTACAGAGCACCAAGACTGTTTCTCTAAACAGGCTACTGAGCAAAGGACTAGTACAAGAAATGTACTTGCAGCCATGACTGCAAATTCATGCCAGTTTTTTTTTAAATGCCACATCAATGAAAAGGTTGAGAAGAGGCACCTGTTTTCATCTACGGTGTTTAAATGGAATTGTTAAAGTTCATTATTAAAATTATCCACCTACTTGAAGGGAGGTTCATTGGTGTGGTGACATTGATGAACTTTAAGTTGTTGATGTTTCCTGAAAGACTTGTTACAGCCTTCAAAGTCGCACTATTTAGGAAATTAAGTTATCGTTAGAGGCCAAATAATGACAGCCTAGTCCACACGTGTTTGCTGAAATCCCAATCACAGTATTTGAACTCATACAAGTACTGCATAATAACAAGTTGAAGTATTTCACTAGATAGATACACAAAAAGGAGCTTGTTTAGCCTCCACTTTACAGTATCAAAGGTAATTACTCACCACATATTGCTTTTGCTGATTTTCATGCTTGCGCTCAATGTGCTTCTTTAAGTTTGATTTTGTTCCAAATTTCTGATTGCATCCATCAGCTGTGCACCTGCAAATGAACTGCATTTTTTATTATCACTCTCAAACAGTGATTTGTTTCCTAGGCAGATACAGAAATAATTGGACAAGAGGAATACACGAAGAATAACCGAAACTCACAACCCAAATATAAAAGTTTGCTTTACAGACATGAAATGCCAGAGGCTAAGTTACAATCAAAAGCCACAGGAAAACGTACCAGAAGAGATTTTTAATAAAACACGTAGGAACGCCTAGCTCCTAATCCATGACATGCAGCTATTAAGGGTTTAGTAGTAGGAGATAACTGCCTGCCTTCTTTTAATTCTGTATTCTAGGGAGCGATCTGCTCATTCCTTTAAGCATCTATTATGGATCGCTGCCAGACAGGAGGTTCCCCACGCCGCACCCTGCGTGACACACTGTTGTGGCAGTACTCATGATACCAGACCATGCTCTGTACCACCCACACATCAGTTTTCACTCCCCTTCATTTCCGTAAGAACAAGCGTAATCCATTTTAAGAAGTAAAAAAATTTGGCCTTACTCGAACGGCTTTTCCCCAGTGTGCGTAAGAAGGTGACGAGCACGGTGGAAATCTCTCGTGAAACCTTTACCGCAGCCTTCGTAATCGCAAACATACGGCCTCTGAAAGAGAGAGGGTCGTTCAGAGACGGCAAACCACACCTCAGGGGGGTCGGCTGTTTCCCGGAGGCT